GGCTGTTATGGTCAAAGGACAGACGTAAGCCGTTTTATTAACTACTATAGGTATGGAACAGGGGTCTTCAATGATGATAAGAGCCATATTAAATTTCCTGTCATAGATGTCTGTCAGTCTGACTGCCTTCAGCTGGCTAGCATGGTATAATTCTAAGAAAAATACATGTTTCTTAGGGTTGTTGTACTCCACCATTGGCTTTAAATTGCAAATATTTATGGGTATCTTATTCTCATTTCTAATGCCTTATTTGTTTTGAAGAACAAATCTTGTTTGTTGTCTCATGTTTGTTTTGAAGAACTTCTGCTTTAGGTTTGAAAACCTGTTCCTCTCAAATTTATCCATACTGTGGGTGGCCACAGTTAAAGTTAAGAAAATTCACTGTAAAATACATAGGAAGCTGAGATGCCCAACTTGACCCTAACTATCTGGAATAGTTATCACTTGGTATAGTACAAAAATACTTAACATCTCTCTTGAGTTTGCTTTAAGAAGATTGTTTTCATTGATGGTCAGAATTCAGGGTGTATTTTACACTTAACTTTAAGCTGTTACTAATCATTTGACTTGCATTTGAGTACCCCTCTGCTTGTTTGTGAAGCGATTACAGAGAAATGCTGTATTTTAGGAATGGTGTGCAAAATTACTTCTCACAACTGAGAAAAACTAGAACAGCAAGTTACTGAAGTGGAGGACTGAGTAGAGAATTATCCTTTTCCTCTGTTCACTGGAAAATTGAAGTATCTGACTAGATACTTACACAGACAGAGATCTCTCTTCGGTTCTTGGTGTCCTCAGATGGTTTCCTGGATTTAGGAGTAACACAGGAAGTTTCACTCCCATATAAGCTTTGCCCATCACCCTGGCTTGACCACTTAAGCAAAAGTCAGTAACCTGGCTGCCACCTTCCATCTGATATTGCTGTACTCTGGGGGCTGCCACACAGCTGGGGTTCTGTGACTATTTGTTCTTTTCTTGATTCTAGTAAAGAGTGGTTATTATGACATTGCGTGCATGTTATTGGGACTAGCATAGTTGATTTTTTTATTTATTTTTCCCCCATCTGGCTCCATATTGTCTTTGCAGAGGATATTTTTCAGTTTAATATCTCATAAGGCACCTTGAGAACACTGTTTTTAGTGTATATTTAGTCATTGACTCATATAATCTCATAACTTACTTTTATTTAATGTCACTTTTAAAGTATTGTTGTACATTAGTGGATGTGTATGATAATGTTTGTGTACATATAAAGGAAACTTCCAGTAATTTCTGATTCCTGTTAAGAGAAAAGGTTGTAGGATTTACTCTGTTTTACTCTGAAGTCCATCTTTCTGTTATCTCAGAAAAGAAGTAAACCTGACATACAACATTCAGTTATGCTGAGAATAATTAACTTTTCACACTGTCAAAAAGCCGACTGGGTATAAGGGTAGAGTCACTGGCGATGATACTAAGCATATACCAAGAATAATTAGTGAGTGAGGGTTTGGCCAGAAAAGGTTCAAAGTGCTGATGAAGGAGGTTCATGACCACTGCAGATTTACTATGAGGCACTATAAGCCACTCAGAACTCTCTTATGCTTTTATTACACTTATGATACTCTTATGATACTAATTAATAGTACTTATTCCTCAAAGGCGGTTTGTTGTTTGTTTTTTTGAGAGAGGAATTGGGAAAAAATAAAGCCACTGATATGGGATGGCTTTCTCCAGGAGCTGGTTGCTAGTTGGGAGCATGACAAAGGTATCTTTTCTGCTGCTTTTAAAGAGATTAAAAACCCCAAACCTTTAATTAAAGCAAATAGTTTTAGAAACCTACAGAAAAAAAAAAACCCGTCCAGTTTTGTGAATGAACTTCCTTAGCCATTTGCACTGGTATTTGGTATATGCATACAAATCTAAATGTAAATCCCCTGATCCTTATTTGAATTCTCTTGCCTACTTTTTCAGCCGGTCAAAAGAATGTGTCAGAATGAAATCTACCTCTCTGTTGGGAGCTGTACACAGCAAAACTTCAGTTTGTTATATAGAGCCTTTAGACAGCAGCCAAGGAGCAAATTTTTGTAATGCATAGTACTTTCATAGTTAATTTCATAGTGAAATTATAGCAACTTCCTTTGAATGCTGACCTTTTTAAGCACATTGAATTCTTTAATAAGGGTAATTGTTGTAATCCATTGCTCTTAAATAGAATTATACTTCTTGGAAAATGACACATGAGGCAGCTCAAAGGCACATTAGACTTAGGAAACGGGAACTTTGTCCTCAGTGTTTTTTTGTTGTTATTTTATGAGAAAACAGAATATTTCTGTTTCACTGCTATGATATAAGACCTTTCTTCCATGTTAATATTGCTTATAAAGCAATGCCATAATTACTATTTTCTATTTGACAAGAACCCACTGATTTCCTGGAATAATTCTTGAAAAATAGATCATTGGAATAGGTTGTCCTGCAAGCAGTAAAATTATTACTTCCTTATCAGTCCGTGTGTGCAAATGAGCTCCTACATGAAACAACAGAGATTCTATAATGACTTACACTACAGGCTTTCCCACAGGGGCATTCACAAGATCTCTCTCCAGGGATCTGTTTTCAAAACTGTTTTAGAAAGTAAATAGCTCTACTTCTCTGCTCCTGTGTCAAATCTGAACTAATTTTATAAAATATTCAAAAAAGACCTGACAGAAAACAAAGTCACATTAATCACATTTCCTTAGGGAACTTGGGTTCAAAACAGTACTACTGGTTAAGGGGCTCTAATTTCGTGATTTTGCATAAGATCAGGTTGATGACACTAGCTTTTCCTACCACTGTTCCTCCTAGATCTCTAGTTTTTGTTATATGCAAGGTAGTGTTGTTACTGAGAACTAGTTTTTGTGGCATATTGTTTCTGGGAAGTAATCCCTAACAGTGGTAGTTTGAAAAAAATACAGTAGGTTATGTTATCATGGTAGTTACCATAGTGCTAAAAAGATACCAAAATATAGATCCTCATTTTTTGTCTTCCTGCATTCCTCTTTACCCACATCCTATCCCACTCCTGCCTTACTAATAAATATACCAACATGAGTTAGTATGCACTAATATATAACACCAAAGAGAGTTAAAAAGGAACAAGAAAAAAGCTTTCAAGTTACCACTGTGTTCCAGTATTTTGGTATTGTTTGTCCAGGCAAGGCTAGTATGGCTCTTTTTCATCCTTGTTTCATGCCTCTCCATCTGTTGATCCAAACTCTCATTCTCCTCATATTTATAACTTCCTTGAGAAGGACACTCAATTTTTTTTTTGTCTTGATGGCTTATTTTTCTATAAACTAGCTCTTACGCTTTCCTCTGGGTTGTGGCTTAGATCCAAACATTTTGTGCCTACAGGCAGCGGTCAGCTAAGAGTGGAGCACTTTACGGGTGCCTCCCAGATACCTTAAATAGCTGCACTCTTGTTCGAAATCTGATGCCTCATCCCAAATCCCCTTGAATCAGTGAGAAGAGATTCAGTTATCCCTCTGCTTTTGAGGACACTGCATTAATTCCATAGATAAGTTTTTACCAATGGAACATATAATGTAAAAACTTCATGAAGAAGCAATAAAACCTTCGTGTTTTCTAAATAGATTCAGACCATTGTAGGTAAGGGGAAAGGAGTATGGCTATACCCACTAAAATTTACGCTAGAGCTCCAGGAATAGCCTTTGCAGATTTTTGAAAATCTGTTTAAAAAAATAAACGTTGGCTAAAAATTGTTAACCTTTATCTACTGGTGATATAGCACAAAATAATTTCCCTTTGTTTCCAGAAATTTTCCACTGTTTTGTGGATTGTCTGAGACTGCATCTCATGGGACTTTTTAGTGAGGTGCACTGTACTGAACAAAATAATAAAGATCTAAGTTCTCTGCAAGAATTTCACTGAAATATTCTCTATGTATTCTCAGGCCCACATGTGCTCCAGAGTTTCCAGGTCTGGATGTTTGTCCAGACTCCCGCCATGTTACATGTCATGGCAAAATTTGTATAGGTACTGATGCCATCATTGTAGTTTGTCATTTCTGTGCAAAGGAAAGGACCCTTTGCCTGGACCCCTGGGGCATGCTGTGAAATGCTGTGGCAGATCATTTAGATGCAACCACGTATAGCATGTAGAAACAGTCCATAAATGTGTACAAAATGTATATTAAAGTTAAATTTCACTTATACAGTGCTTATACAGGTATTTGTTGCTGAAGCAAGGGAGCAAAGAACGTATGGCTGTTCATTACTGTAGGATGACTGAGCTGAACCAGGTTACTGAAAACATCATTGAAATGTCTGGCTCATAGAATCATAGAATAGTTAAGGTTGGAAAGGACCTTAAGATCACCTAGTTCCAACCCCCCTGCCAGGGGCAGGGACACCTCACACTAAACCATGTCACCCGAGGCTCTGTCCAGCCTGGCCTTGATCACCACCAGGGATGGAGCATTCACAGCTTCCTTGGGCAACCCATTCCAGTGCCTCACCACCCTTATAGTAAAGAACTTCCTCCTTATATGCAATCTAAACTTCCCATGTTTAAGTTTTAACCCATTTCCCCTTGTCCTATTTTTAGTACCAAAGCTAAGCTGCTATATAGAGGAATATAAATTATTGTATGTATGTGAGAAGAAGAAGGGCAGATCACTGACTGCAGAACTTAAATTTCCCAAGCAAAGAATATACATATGATATATAGATGTCCTTCTTTGACACACTTTTGACTGTAATGTGTTTTAAACAATCAGTAAGTAAGAGCTTGGTATTTAAAAAAAAAATATTTATGAGTCAAGTATTTTACAGAAGACCAAACAGGAACACAGAATTAAAGTTTCTCCTTTTTGCTCCCCAAAAAACAAACCCTACCTGTGTGAATTAGCTGCTTTTACCCTCCAGTCTCCCAAAACCTTCCATCTGAAACCTGTCCTTTTCTGTCTTCCCCTTTTTACTCTTGTTTCCGCTGTTTATCCATCTACTGGCTGACAGTGTCTTTACATCCAAAATGCAAAGCAGACAGATGGGCGTCTCAGGAAAGAACATGACCAAGAGCACCAGCATCGGCGGGGATATGTACACACTGGAGAAGAATGATGGCAGCCAGTCAGACACTGCAGTGGGCACTGTTGGCGGTGGTGGCAAAAAGAGACGCTCCAGCATCGGTGCAAAGATGGTTGCCATCGTGGGTCTCTCACGGAAAAGCCGTAGCACGTCACAACTCAGCCAAACTGGTAGGAACTGGACTTTTTTCCCCTCTCAAATTATCATTTAAATGTACATTATGTGTATGTATTGTGGCTTAATCATTTAGATATCCCGTTGGAGTTGCCTAATCAACATTCTACAAATGAAGAAAATGGTCAAACATCTTTTTTTTCTCTGGACACTTAACTAACCTTTTTTGTTTGTTTTGCAAAGATCCTTTTCAGGTTGGACTGAGGCTTTTACTTTTCTGCTTGCTGGAACCTGCTTAAATCACTAATTCCTTGTTTCTCAGGAGCCAACATGCGCTGCTCAACTTCTGATTTGGGGGGATCCTTACTGCAAGTTTCTGAAGGGTCACTGAAATGTTGCAAAATTCTTTTCTTTTGTCACAAATAGTGTTTGAGTCTTTCAATATGGTTTTGTTTGTTTTCACATCTAAACAGGCAGTCTTATTTTGAAATTAAATGATTTTCCTGAAGAAATGATATATTTTATTGCTTTAGGACAAATGGTTTATTCCTTTAAAATTAATTTCTTTTCAGCTTATAAGCATATTCACCATGAATATAAATTTTCTTCATTTCTGTTTGCCTCAATTAAAATTTGATACTGAAATATTCTACCTAGGAAAAATAGAGTTTTTCTGCTTTGATGCCTAAAGTATTTATAAACTTATGCATTTTTTTTTTCCTCCTATTTAAGGGAAAATCCATATAATGCACTCTGAAAAGCTCTCATTGTCAATTGAGAAAGAAGTATAGGGCAAGTGTATTTTACATAGAAAAACATAACTTGTATTTTAATGGCATATATAAAGTGCAATAGCAATTTACATAGTTATGCATTTATATTTTTATATATTTTAAGGTACATGCATAAGATATACTGTATGTTCAGTATTTAAGCAAAACTGTTGCAACGTTGTCAGAGGGTTCAACATAAATTTATAGTGTTCAGCTGTGTATGACCCCATCTGGAGGTCTCCATTGTGCTAACCAGCATTCAAACAGTGATAAGAGATTTTTCAGTTCTCTGGAAAGCTTGCAGTTCATATTGTGAAACCAGAGTGATGAGAGTTTTAATCTACAAGCAAACTGAGCAAAACTATTATTTTCAATGTCAGAAATTGTGATAAACTTTGTAAGAGGGGAAAGAAAGGGCAAGCAAGAGGGGTAAGACTGCAGAGGGAGGAGGAGCACAGAAAGAGAGGAGGGATCTTGAGTGTGCGTCTTACTGAATGCAATACGAGACAGGAGTGAATGAAGAAGAGGGAAAAGAACATATATAGTAAAAGCTCTTGAATATCATGCAGACTCCATCAGTAGGCAAGTCTTGCATCACTCTCATGTTTTACCAATTCACTTGTGAGTTATGGAAATGCCAGTTTCATATACATTTCTATTTTCCCTGAGTTCAAATGAATGCAAGGCAAAAGATTACTTACCTTTATGCAGATCTGGGAAGTCTCTGGTTGGGCAATAAAAAAGAAAAAACTAATTAACTCACCTAGAAATTTAAATTTTACTCATGTGGTAGTATGTAGGTTTGTAACTTGTTTGATGTATTTGAATATTGAGTCTAATACAATGCACTACAGTACTAGATCTGATTTAATCTTGCTTCTCTTGTGTATGAGACATTAAATTAAGGATGCTATCTCTTTATGTTGTTCAAGTATGTCTTAGCACTAGTGAGAATCCATGTTGTGTGGTTTGCCTAGATTTGATTTAAATACCATGGAGTCTTAGTTATTTGGGACTTTTGATCTGAAGTTTTTCTCTCTGTTACATCTAATCAGTTGCCCCAAAACTGAGTCAAGACAGGGAGATATGTGAAATGTAATTCTTTCAAAAACACTCAAGATCTCTTGACCTGCTGACTGTGAACGGGTTGTTCTGTAAAGCTCTTGAATAACAAGCTGTATTTCAGTGCTGATAGAGAAGCATCAGGAACAAGGAGTGCCCACAAAGCCCTGGCTGGCAGCCCTTCTCCCTTGGCTTCTCCTGGGAGAGATCTGTGCCTGGTCTGGCCTGTGCCTGGCCCCAACAAGAGCAGACAGTGGACCTCCTGCTGCTTTCTGGACAGGCCTCTCATATATTGGTTGCATATGGGTTGTTTTGTAAAGATGTTACTGCACACCAGCTCCTGCTGTCCTATTTGACAGTGGTCCTCAGGGACCTGTCTGGTGGCCACATGTGGCTGCACCTAACAGGACAGGCATGCACATCATCTAAATACTTGGGTCATGTGAACACACTGATCATACCATATGTGTATGGTTCTATGTCTCCAGTGACACAAGATGATGACCTGCTGGGTGCATGAGAGTGAGGTCACATCACGAAGTGTCTTGCATGTTTTAAACATCTTTCAATATGAGGGCTGTCAGACACTGGAACAGGTTGCTCAGAGAAACTGTGGATGCCCCATACCTGAAAGTGTTCAAGGCCAGGTTGGACAGGGGTTTGAACAATCTTGTCTGGTGGAAGGTGTCCCTGCCTGTGGCAGGTTGTTTGAAACTGGATGATCTTTAAGGTGCCTTCCAACCCAAAGCATTCTATGGTTCTACCCATCAGAGCATCTTAAAGAAAATATTGGGCAACAGTGTTATACGTGAATGCTAGAGGTTTAAAACCTGCTGTTAATATAGTTAATGAATGTATATATTTCCCTGGTTTATCCCACTGTGTTCCTGTTTTCAGATAGTAAGTGCCTGCACAAAAAATCATGTGTTGGTACAAGCATTGATACGAGGTCTGGGATCAAAACACTAATGTGCTGTAGACATCCTGTAAGTACAGTGTTCTGGAGCTGAGAGGCAGGGGATACTCAGGTGGCACCTCGGAGAAACTCATTGAAGTATAAAGGGTTCTTAAGAAATTATGTTATTCAATTGGTCAGCTAAGTATCTTTTTACATATCAGGCTTGAAAAGCATACAGATATCATGAGATAACAATACTATTCTATAGAATGTTGTGATCATATTTATAGCAACTAGGCTTTTATAAACTGTGTGCTCATACTGAAGTCAGTGAAGAAATGCCTATCAGTAACTGAAACTTTTTTCAAGTGTTTTGTTAAGCATATGTTTCAGTGATTTTCTGACTTCGTATTTTAGAACTAAATCTATGTCATAAGTTTTTCTGAAAGTAGGTCATCATACCTGTTTTCAGGACTGTGAATCAGACTTAGAATAAATGTCTTATAAGGTCCATTTTTACTGTCTTTTCAAATTAGTCTTATTCTATTTCTTGGTATTTGGCATAATATTAAGAAATTGACACTCAAAATACCACAAAGTATTTTTTTATTCTGGTCTGTAATTCTTTTAGTGTATTCAGGTAGGAAGAGTTGTTTGGATTTTTACAGGTAAAGGGTATGTTGATTTGTTGTTTTAGGTGGGAGTAAAAGGATTAACTATTGTTGTTTTCATTATTATTATTGTTGTTATTATTATTATTGTTATTATTACTATTATTATTAATATTACTATTATTACCTAACAACAGTATTTGGACTTAATTCACTTATGGCTAGTTTATATTCTTCAGAATATATATAGTGCATAGTTTCTCGAGAGATAGAACTGAATCCATCTGAAATATGAAAAAAAGATAGTAAGCATACACAGTCTTAAACGCTTAGAAAATTGCTTATCCAGTAACGCTGCTGACCAGGCCCATCAAGGGTAATTTATGACATTAAAATAATAGTTCAAGAAGTTGAAAAGATCTGACTTCATTAACTTAGGCAGGGGGAACTGATCTTTTCAGATTATTGTAGCAAGAGAATCCAAGTGTGTTCTCATATCCATTACATGAAAAGATCTTCAGTGTTGCTCTATGGATCACTGTTGTTATGGGAAAGGAAAGAGCAAAAAAAAATGCAAGTGTTAAGACCATGGGAATACAGAAAACATGAATAAAAATAGATGAGAGTCATTCTCTAGTTTCCATTTCATCTTAAAGGAGAGCTGTAATTTATTTCTTAGAATTTCATACTCCTTTTAGCAATGTGTATCACTGCTGTGATATAACTTTCCTATTATTTGTTTTAATGAAAATTTTAGTTGTGAGGATATACAAGATTAGTATTTTGTGAACTTATGTGATGTATTTCAAAGCAACTTAGGGGAAAAAATATTCAGAAATTCCTACAGTTTCTTTAACCTTAGAATCAAGCTAATGGTTGGACGACACAAAACTGCTTTTACTTAATGTATGTTTTATGTAAGATAAGACTTAAGTAAAAGACAAGATGCTATAGAGTAGAATGTCAAGGTAAATCAGAATTTATTTTAGTTCTGCTTCCTGTACCTTTTTAGTGCTACAAAAAGTAGATAAAGGAATAGTCCCTGCAACTAAGTCCAGCAAACATTCCTAGAAGCTAACATTTGGTGGGGTGGGAAGAGTTTATGTTGTAACCTTCTGGTCCTGATTCCACAGGCATTCTTCCTTGTGGAAAAGGTGGTTTTCTTTACAGAGGAAAATTATAGAATTCAAATCCCAAGCAGTGCCTTAACAGTGTTTGCTTAGCTATTCATACCTGGAATGCAGTCCTTTCCCTGCAGGAGAGCCCTGAGGAAACATGATCAAGTTTCCATACACGTGCAGACCTGTAACACTCTGTGTGTTAAAAGCCAAATTTTGTATTCTGTATGGTTAGTAGGGTGAAACTGGTCTAAAGTGCTGTACTCATAAGTAGAATAGTCTCAGTTGTGTCCGTCATTAACCAGCCAGGTAGCCTGCAGATCAAGTTTTTCAATTACTGGAATAATTGAAGAGACTGTGTTGGGAACATCAGTCTTGGTCTTGTGTGGATTTCACATTCCTCAGTTCAAAGTTCACTTTTATATAAAAAACAGTCTTCTACCACACATACAATACATATGTTTCCTACTAAAAAGATGATTAACCATTTCCACCAGTGGTAACTAAGGAAGGAACAACATGAATGCCTTTCATTGTCTAAAATGAGATAGAATATAAGCAAATAACTTACTTAACTAAAAGTGTATGTGTTCT